GGGGGGGGGGGGTCCTCGCTGGGTTCTGGAACTAACGTGGCAGGTCTGCAGGACGCCTGGGCAGGCGAACCCGGAGCCCCGTGCCCATCACGGCGCCTCCTGCTGGCTCACGTTCGCTGGGGCCCCTTGACGCTTGTCCTCGTGCTGGCGATGTGGCCGCTTCAGTGGCCGCTTCGGGTTCCTTGGTCAGGAAGGCTTTGTCTGCCGTAGAAGGCACTGTCCCGGGTTGCGGACAAGGGGATCGGTAGACGAGGGTGGGGGACGCAGGGTCCAGCAGGGGAGTTCGGGGTTTCCAGCCGCGGGGCTTCTCAGGGCTCGGCCGTGCTAGTGTGTGCGGGGACCGTCCTCGGGAGGCTCGCCCCGAGGGAGCGGCAGGGGGTCCCCAGCTTGGAAAAGCTGGTGTAGTGGGTACGTGTGGCCTTAGGAAACAGACCCCGTTTCCCTCTCGGAAATGGAGGGGCTACTCCGTCCGTCCGGGTGCGGTGGACGGGAGATAGCGCCGTGAGGGGCCCACCGCAGTCCCCGCGGTCCGCCGCCTCCCCTGCCCAGCCCCGCGCCCCCCTAGGCTGAGACGTGTCCGAGGTTTCTGGAAGCACCCCGCGTCGGGTGGGTGAAAGCGGGCGGTAGTCCTGCTCCTCCGGAGCGGGGCGTCTGGCCCTCCGCGTCGTGGCGGTGCCGCTCGCCAGCAAACGCAGCTCCCCTGGGCCGGGTCCCCGGCGGCTCGCGCAGCCCTGGCAGCCTCACCCGTCTCCCCTGGTGCCGCCCGCATGTGTCCTCCCTGCGCCACGGCGCGGACGCGGCCCGCAGGAAGCACCGCCGTAGCGCGGTCTCGTGGACGGCCCTCTGACCCCCGTCCCGTCTCTTTGCCAGGCTGGAAGTGCACCTCGTGGGAGGCTTCAGTGACGACAGGCAGTTGTCACAAAAACTTACTCATCAGCTTCTTAGTAAGTGCCCTGCATTCCCCCAACTCCGACAGAAGTCTGCGCCCACTGTGGCTCAACCTCGGAGGGGCGCCGCTGCTTGAAGCCGGGACTCGGGCAGGAGGGGCGCGGAGCCCGGTCTTCAGGGGCTGAGGGGACGGGGGCCAGAGTGTCCGTGTGACAGCAGTCCACCCGGCCCCAGATAGCACTGACCTGTGTACAGGCAGAACCGCCCTCTGGGCCGTGGCATCCATTTCAATCTGCAGAACATTAAAACACGGCTGAAGCCACTGTTTTCCCTACTGAAGTAGCGTGGAAGCCCCCACTCTGGTAGCCACGAGGCAGCGGGCTGGGGGAGTCGCTGCTGCAGGCTCTGGGCCAGGCGACCTGGCATCTGGGCTGGAGTCTTCTTTAAAATCTCTTTGAAGATTTTATTTGTCAGAGAGAGA